TATGCTCAATGCATTCCACTCGATCCCTCAAGGCACGGTCGATGGGACAAAGTAAGGAAGCGGTGTGTAAATGCTCCATCATCCACAATTGCAGCAAAAGGTTACTTCCCTCAAAATATCTGACACCTCCCTTAACCTCACTCAGGGCTCGATACAACTCTGCTAAGATCATTGGCACAACGGTAATGGTTCTGTGCCGCTTCTCATGAAATAGTGTCATCACCACTGATTGTAGATGGGTGCTAATGTGTCTCTCATCTAAAGAAAACACCAATAATCCCAACAAAGCAAGGCTGAAAGCTTCGAGTCAGCGTCTTTGCCACTTTGCCTTGGTTGTGCTAAACTCATCCCAAAAGATGTCAAAACTATCCCGTGGTCCAAATCTAGCAAAAAAATAATCCAAGGATATTCAGGACTGCTCGAGGCATCCTAAATGCTTATTGTCTTTCAAGCCCAAGTCGCTGAGAAATCTTTTCCTAGAGTGATCTCAAGGAAGTATCATGTCTTTACCTATGCAGTTTAGGCGAGTGAAACCAGACATTTCTGCCAAGGTAGGAGTCATCTCACACTTCCCAAATCTGAAAACCATGTTTTGCGGGTCCCAATAGGTCAACATCGCCTCCACTAAATTCGGGCGAGGTGTGATATCAAGAAGCGAAATGAGGGTGCCCAACTTATTCATTAGCTCGTGTTGTTCTAACAATGAAAATATTTTCCACAACCTGACCAACTTCCTCGAAATTTTCACTACCATCAACACTTTGGATCGAATTAGTGGGTCCATACCTGAATAAAGAAAACACAGTTAGTGACTCAAGACACTATGCGACGCCACAACACTTCCTAGTGGACAGATGCAAGACACGATTGGACTATTTTTTACAAAATGTCCTAAGTGGATGAGAGTGGCTATTAGTGCAAACTCGACAAAGTGGACCCCCTAATGCATGAAATATACCCTATTTACGGCATACACAGCTTCAAAATCCCAACAATCATGGCCTTAAAAATTACTTTGCAGAAATGACCCATTTTGCAAAAGTGGTCGATATGGCCAAATGTGGCTAGGGATGCAAACACGACAAGGACGAGCCTTAAAGGAACGGTACACTTAGTTTTATACTAAAATTCTAAGACATGGATCACTGGACCACTTTCGCGAAAATGACCCCATTTTGCAAGAATGACCGACGTGGCCAAAGTGGCTAGACATGCAAGATTTGGCTACGACCCCCGAAGCCAAGAACCTAAGACTCACTAGGAAGACCGGACCCTATGTGGGTTGACTACGTATCGCGCCCCGAAAGACGAGAATCAGGTATGCGTAGTTCGAGAATATGGGACATGGGAGAAAGCTTTTAAAAAATGCAACTAATTTGGAAAAACTATATTTTTGTCTTTTTGAAAAAATGATGAAAAATGTAAAATCTTTTTGGATTTTCTTTTTTTCCATTTTTGATTTTTGGAAAATGATGGGAAAGTGCAAAATCTTTTTGGATTTTTCATTTTTCGTATTTTTGGCTTCTTTTTTTTGTGAAAAAGTTGAATAAGAAGAAAAATAATTGTGTCTTACTTGCTTCATTTTATACCTCGCCCTCTTTCCCAAATATCAGTCCGCCAAATGACCTTTCTACCCTCAAAGATACAACATGTATCACATAAGGATGATTGAATGTCCTTTTGGGCCATGGGTCAATTTTGACATAATTTGGATAGGCCTCCTATAAAGGGACACGGTGCCTGGGACCAAGCCCTGCTAGGTAAATGACATGATGCAAATAAGCATGATCTAAAGGTTGACCTACGTTTGGGATTCACTAACAAGGCAATTCGGGGGAGCATATGGTCGATGGTGGCTGCTCAAGTTTTCCACCCACTCCATACGTCTGACGGCTTTCCCTCCTAAAATAAGTGTGACTCAACAAAGAGTTTGTGTACACAACGCGTACTAAGATACTTGTTGCAAAAAGAATTGACTCGAGGTTATATAAATGATGACAGTTATAAAGCAGTAACACATAAAGAAAAAAACTGTAAACACACAAACAACTAGTAAATAATAAAACAACACAAAAATAAAAATCAAATATAGCAAATACTAAAAATAAATAAAAATCTCAACCAAATATTTTAAAAAGCCAACAAGATCACAGTATTAGCTCGAACCTGCAAAGTTCACCAGCAGAGTCGCCAGGCTGTCACACCCCTTGTAAAGCTCAAAAGGGTTTTCAATTTTGAAAGTGACAAAGTAATTTGTGTTTCGAAGGATTATTGAGAGTCGCCACCTGACATTTGATTTCGGTGTGTCAGGTCACCATTTTTAAAATAATAATTTATTTTCAAAACGTGTTTGACTCTTAAACCAGTTGCACCAGAAAATCAGGGTAAGGGGGTTCATTTGACTTGGGGAGAAGATGTGGCACTCCCCAAATCCCGTGAAAGTCACGGTTGCGTACCCGATCTAGTTGGCTTTTAAAATATCCAAAATTAAGGTAAAAACACACAAAAAGAAAATAGACACAAAAGGTTCGAGGTTGTCCCTGCCTAAGACAAACAAATGAAAATAGAAACAAAATAAGATGTTACACCATGCTTCCTTCACAAGCTCGTCACGGCCTCCAAAATATTTACAAAGTACTTCGGGGAATTCCCCGGATAATACAATCGACTAAAGGGACAACCTCTTACCTTAACAAAATTAACATATAAACGTCCTAATGGTTTGCCTACCTAAATGTGGTCGGTCTAAGAATGCTCCTAGCTGGGTAAACGAATAATAAAACTATAAAGTATAGTAATGAAGATTTACGATCCAAATTATCATTATTTTTAATGCCTCAAACCTTCGGCTAATTTCGCCATCCAATTTGATTAAATCACCAAACCACAAAAAAAACAAATATCACATCTAACAAATGTCTAGCAAATATTGCGTTATCAATGACCAAACGCATAAGAAAGGGAAACAAGATAGACAAAGACAAAATAAAGGAACATATATAAAGATAACATTAAATATCTAGATCAATGCATCATCCTAACACGCATAAGAGGAAACGAGCAGAATGCATACACGAGTCGTTTAAGACATAAGCGTCTACTGTACCATTTTTATAGATATCGTTCCTACATAAAATTGGTAAAACTCATTTAAGCTAACCCATATTATCTTAACAATGAATGTGGGTGGAACTGCAATGCAAAGGCAAGCCAGACTCCTTCCAAATACGCAAACTACTCTAAAAGGACAAAAATAAACCCAAAATGTCCGATCGAAGAAAACAGACCTACATACTTATGAAATAGTTAAGCTAATACCAAATGACACAACTAGCTTAGACAACATTCAGGAAACGTGCTTGTTACTTTCGATACAAATTGATGGATCCAAGCAGTGGTAAAGCAAATTCATGGAAATATAATGATTTTATCTTGCATTAAAAGTCTATAAAGGTTATTGAAAAAAAATCTATCTATGTTTTAGAGTTTAGACTGAAAAAGGAATCTCAAACCAACATGCTGTAATTTTCTTAGTGAATTGGCTTCAAATGTTCAAAACGAATCCAACATCATAACTATATAAATTTGCGAACCAGAACACACTTTCAAGCTCATTTTGACTAAAAACAAAAATAGCAGAAAAGATTTAAGCAAGAACAAACCAATTGACACGATCATCACCAAAGAGAAACATATTAATAAATCCGTAATCATCACTAATTAATCCATCTTCTAATGGCTCAGTTAAGGCTCAATTCGTAAGCGAGATAAAGAGAAAAAGGAAAGAATTGAACCTGTTGAGTAAGTTCTTCCACTATATGAAAATTCAACAAATAAAGAGATTTCAACTCCCAAAATTTGAAACGAGAACAGCAACGCAATCGAGCAGAAACCGCAAGCTAAGCCACGAACCTCGAACGGAAACTCAAATCGGCACCGAAATTTCGAATCCAAACTCGTACTTCAATCAAATTCTATCTTTTAAAACGAAAATTGAAATTGGAAAGAAGAAGAAACATATGTTTATTTTTTTGTGTTTTTCTGAGATTTAAATTAAACTAAAAAAAACTGAAACAAAATGAAATCCAAAGATGAAAAGTGCTAAACTGAATTTGTTTTCGTTTGTCTTTTTCTGGTTGTTCCAAGAAGACCAAAATCAGAGAAGGAGATTGATGATTTTCCAAACCCTCCTTTTTCGTCCCCCATCTTTGTCCGTGACCTCTCTTTATTGTTCCCCAAATAATGCTTAACTTTTCTATTGTCTTCCACGCACTCTTTTTTTCCCAAAAATCCTCCCTTCCTTTCAAAGTCTTGTCCCCATTATCTATTCTTCTTGCTTGGAGGAAGTTGCAAGAAATCCAAAAAGATGTGTGGTCCCCTTTTATAAAACTGGCGTATGCTTATATAAAAATAAAAATGTGTAGAGTGTTGATGAAGTGAGGCAAATGAAGATAAAACAATTAAAAGTGCACCGTGTGTATTGTGTATGTCTAAAATAAAAATAATTTATGGAAAAATAAAGTAAGTGGAGTGTGTCATTGTAGATTGAAAAGTAAAAAGGATTTGATTGTAGTATGCCATGTGAGTTGGTTAATTGATCATTTCCTTCTCTTTTTATTTTTAGACAAAATAGCTAAGTAAAATACTACTACTTATCTAAAGTTTTAAAAGAAAGATTAACGTTGCTATATTGAAGAAAATATAAAATATTACTCAATGTTTACTGCATATGTACAACTTAAAATCAAAATAAATAAAACTATGTAATTTTATTTTTTTTTTAAAAACTTGCTTACTATCGTTTTTTTTTTCAATTTTATGAAAAGTAAGAAAAATTAAAAGTTGATAGTCAAAACCAATTAGCTAAAATAAAGGAAAATATTTTTGTAGTTTTTATTTTTAAGACAAAATAAAGCAAAAAAGTTTAAAATATTCAAAATAGTACTGTTAGACCTAAAACTAATATCTAAACACTAAAAGACATAAAATTTCGGGGAGGATCAAAAATTACATATCTACAAATACAATACAAGTTTTTTTTCTGCCTTTATCACTCTTTATGGTATTAAGAGCCCTACTGCTCCAATGAGCTTGATCCTAATTTTTTTTTCTAACCCACCCACACACAAATGGCTCCAAGTTCTCCAACTGTTGTCAATGCTGATAACACCTCCGGTTCAAAGACTGTTGTCCAGTTCAATCCCGTTGCTCAACTTCCCAAGTTCAATCCCGTTGCTCAACTTCCCATCAAACTTACTGGTAGCCATAACTTTTCACTATGGAAGACTCAGGTGTCCATGCTTATGCGTGGGCACAATCTCTTTGGTCACCTTGATGGATCGAAACCAGCCCTCTCTTAGACTATCTCTGCAAATAACCAAGAAGTATCCAATCCTGATTTTCTTGCTTGGTTTCAGCAAGATCAGCTCATACAAAATGTTGTCTCGCCATTTGTAGATTCAACAATTGCTAGTACAATTGCTTCAGCTTTGGCAGATTTTTCTAAGCATGATTGGCCTAAATTGGGTCATGCTAGAGTCTACAATAGAGCTTCTGAAATGCTGCAAAAGGGGGGAGGCGGGGGAAGGCAGAAGAAATGGTGGAACTCCATCCCAACTTGTGTATGGTGGACTATTTGAGAGAAATGCCAGATGTTTTGAAGACAATAGCAACTCTATACAGACAATTAAGATGAATTGTATACGGTCTTTGTATTTTTGGTGTAAAGGAAAATACGTAGAAGATACTGAATCTTTAATGGATTTTCTAGAAGCCTTGTAGTAACCTTGTAAGAAGAACAAAGTTCTATTTTGCTTAATCTACTTTGTAGATATGGTGCCCAGCTTTTCCTTAAGGCTGATGAATATATTGTTACCATTCTCAACAACAAAAAAATCATGAAAACTTTGCGCTTATGTGCTCGCTATACATGGAAGATACTGACATACGGCAAACGTGTAACAGAATGAAGTCCATTACTGCCAAACAAGCCTGAAAAGTTATCAAAATCTTATGCACTACCATATTAATAACAACTTCAATAGAGAATTAGATCACACGGAAGAGTTAGAAATTGTCACAGTTTACATTCTTCCACCCACCTTGAGTTTATCAGGTATTTCACCTTTAAAACTTTAGTTCAATCAGCTACACGAACAAGACAGCCAGATACCATAAAACTATAGCATGTCCAGTTTGTTAAGGAACTAACAAGTAAATGAGTCTATTAAACTTGCAAGCAATCCCCCTCAAGCACCCCCCCAAATCAACAAACTCAGTTTATATACAAGTAGCATCATGGGATAAACAGTAATAAACCTGTGATTCAATAAGCTCCAAAGAACAACTTAAGCCTTCAATCCCATTCACCAATTTGCTATAATCTACAGAAAAAGAAAACATATCAAAATCAGAGCTCAAGCAACGTCTTAGTCCCACATAAATCTGAACTTTCCAAAACTAACAGGAATCCTCAGCACCTTCAACATATTCCCTTGAAAGCCCCTCAATTTCATCTGTTATTTTTGCATTTTTAGCCTCCTCTGTGCTAAGCTCATTCTTCAAATATTCCCAAAATTCATCTGAAGTTGCAAAAACGAGGTTTAAATGGAAGATAAAGCTCCCTCCAAAGATATATGTGTGTGTATAATAAAGCTCCTGCCAAACATATGTGGGTGTGTCATACATAGACACCCACACACGCACATGGAGGAAAAAAAAGATATAAAAGCTTTTCTTCTACCTATATCCTGATCAAACGAGAAGCTAACTTCTAAGGCATCATACAATATCTGTTCTACTTTACTCTGCAAAAGCATACACAAAGAACAAACACGACATTGACAGAAAAATATAGTGAACATTTCAGGCCATCAAAGGAAAAAAAAATCAAATTAAAAAAGAACCTCTCTTGGTCCCAATTTATTCATTCATTGTCCCTTATCGAGTCAATTTGATCATTTTCGGAGCTCACGTGTTTGGTATGGTTAAAAATGTCTTGTTTGATGAAATCATTTTTCATAGTTTGGTTATCTTAGGGGCAGCCCGGTGCACAAGGCATCCCGCGTTCACGCAGGGTCCGGGTTTGGTTATCTTAAATAGAAAATGATTTCTTCAATGAAAATAATTTCCACATAAAAGTGGAAAATGGCTTATTTAGCTTATGACAAAAGTCATTTTCCTTTCCAAATAACCCAACTCGTACTCCATGTTACTTGTTTCAATAACTCTTAGACATTGTTTTCAACCTTTACTACTCAAAAATATATCCAACTAACACTGGAAAATAATCCAAAACATTTTCCTCAACCAAACGCACAATGGAAAACAGTTAACTTATTTTCCTTTAAGTTATATACACTAACAATGTAAAGGAATTTTTACACCACCTGTATATTTAACCTATTGTAATAGGTTAATCACCTTTTATGCTAGTTTAGTAATCAATATTTGTTAATAGAATTACATGCAATGTCCTTTTAAGTGACATGTAATCACTGTCAAAGCTTAAATTCTTTAGTTATTTTGGGTGTGCTTGGCATGGAGGAAATATTCTTCAAAAAATATTCCAAATTTTCTCGTGTTTGATTGGTCAGAATATTTTCTATAGGAAAACAAGTTCCTTAAAAATCAGGAAAATAACTTCCCTAGTGAGAGCAGCAGGGGCGGACCTAGAGTAGAGAATGCGGGTTTCCGGGAACCTAGTAACTTTTGCATAGACCCTGCTTTTATATTAAGAAATTCATTAAATATTTGTAAATATCTAACCGTGAACCCAGTTATTATTACATATTAATCTAAAATTACGGTAGGAACGCATAAGCCTCAAATCGTGGATTCGCCTCTGAAGAGCGGGGAAGACAAGTTATATAAGTGGCATTCCACATTGATTATCTCTTCCCCACCCCCCACCCCAACGCATCACACTTCACCCTTGAACACCCAACCCCTCCTCCTACTG